GGGAAGGGGAAAAAATTAAACTCAAAAGTTTATGGAAGTGACTATTTTCTTTGATTATTATCTGTATCAACTTACCTGGAGGATGATTAGGCCTCAAATCAGGCAGATATTTTTGTAGCTAATTTATTACTGATTTTAGCCTTCTCTATACCTTGAGTCTCTTTTCTTAAGCATAGATCTGTTTTTAATTTTTGGCAATGTGGGAGTTCTCCTCAAACAATTTTAATTAAGATTTTATAAAGGGGTGATGCTACGTGTACAAATTTTTTGTTTTTCAGGTGTTTCAGTTGACTTCAACTCTTCGTGACCCCATTTGAGGTTTTCTTGGCAAAGATACTAGAGTGGTTTGACATTTCCTTCTCCAGCTTATTTACAGATGAGGAAACTGAGGTAAACAGGGTTAAGTGACTTGCCCAGGGTCACACAGGAAAATGAATCTTCCTGAGCAGGCCCAGCACCCTAATCCAAATTTACATAAAGTGAGAACTGTCTGTATATGTATATATTTTCCTCAACAACTGGTAGAGTGGAGGAGGTAGAACCAAGATGAAGGAGAAAAGGCAGGAACTCACCTGAACTTTCCCACGTTCTCTTCCAAACAACTTTAAAATAACACCTCAAAATGAATTCTGGAGCAGTAAAATCCACAAGAGGAAATGGTGAAACAATTTTCCAGCCCAAGACAACTTAAAAGGTTGGCAGAAAAGGTCTGTCACACTAAGGTGAGAGTGGAGCAAAGTCCAGGGAAGGCAATTGTGCCTGACAAACCATTAGCAGGCCTTAAGGGCAACTGAATTGACGGCAGCAGCATCTGGAGCTCTCAGTCCACATGCACTAAGGAAACTGGACAACTGGTCAGAAGATTACAGGAGTCCCTTTGTTGGCCCTGGTTGCAGGACTCTGTTATACTAACCATATGTGGATCTGCATCACGGTCCTAGGGTAAGGAGAAGCACTAGAACAGCAGAGCTTGTGGCCCCAGAGTTGCAGAGACCTTGGTCATAGTTCCAGAGCAGAGAAGAGTGCTTGTGGCTGTTCACAAACCAGAGCATAGGCCAGGACAGTAGGAATCATATCTGTCCTTAACTCATACCACTTTAGAAGAACCAACCCCCCCTGCCCAAACTAGCTCTGAAAACAGCTGCACAAAAATCCTGAAGCTTGAGACAGTTCCCCCACCCACCCTAGGAGCAGAGCCCAACTTTAACATAAATTTAAAAGGCAAGAAATAGGCTGGAAAAATGAACAACAAAAAAAGAACCTAACTATAGAAAGTTAGTATGCTGACAGGGAAAATCAAAACACAAACTCAGAGGACAATAACAGTCAAAACTGCTTCAACCAAAGCCTCAAAGAAAAATGTGAATTGGTCTCAGGCCCAAAAAAAAATTCCTGGAAGAGCTAAAAAGAATTTTAAAACTCAAATAAGAGAAATACAAGAAAAATTGGGAAAAGAAATAAGTGATTCAAGAAAAGAAGGTTTAGTTAGCCATAGCAAACAAAGAATACTTAAGAAGGATATAGCACTTAGCTATAAGAAATAACAAATAGTATGCTTTCAGAAAAACCTGGGAAAACTTGCTTCAAGTAATGCAAAGTAAAATGAGCAGAATCAGGAGATCATTGTACATGTACACAGTAACAGCAATATTGTATAATGATCAACTATGATTGACTTAGCTATTCTCAGCAATACAATGATCTAAGACAATTCCAAAAGACTCCTGATGGAAAATGCTATCCACATCCAACAAAAGAACTGATGGAGTCTGAATGCAAAATGAAGCATACTTTTCTACTTTATTGTTCTTGGATTTTTTGATCTGCATTTTCTTTTGCAACATGGCTGTTATGGAAATGTTTTACCTAACTGCCAATATATAATCTATATTAAGTTTCTTGCCTCCTCAATGAGGGGAAAGGAAGAGAATGAGAGAATTTGGAACTCACAATGTTTGAAAAAGGAAATGTCAAAAATAAATTTATATGTAAATTGAGAAAACAACATTTAAAATTAAAAAAAAAAAGATACAGTACTTAACTTGGGAAGACCTGGCCTCTCCTGTCTTTGGAAATATCTTGTCAACATGGCAGTGAATGGTGACTTGGGGACATTCTTCCAATTTGAAGAACCCTTTTTTATGCCCTTAGGTGACCAGAAAGTCAAGTTAACCCCCCAACCCCTTAAAGTCAATAAAATTCCAAGGACAGTTGGAATACCTTTAAGGAGCAATTAGCTTGACCTCAGTGGAGCAGGGTTTTAGAAAAAGCTAATTCAGCCCCCACAGCATGGAACTCTGATATATAATATTGATGCTACCATATGAAAGCTTGCTGTGAATTACTTTTTTTTTTTTTTGGTGAGACAATTGGGGTTAAGTGATTTCCCCAGAGTCATACAACTAGTAAGCATTATGTGTCTCAGGTCACATTTGAACTCAGATCCTCCTGATTCCAGCAGTGCTCTATCCACTGCGCCACCTAGCTGCCCCCTGAGAATTACTTTTAAAGGCCAAGTTTTTGTTTCCATTGAACTAGAATGGTATGTAATAGATCAAGGCAAAATATAATTTTTAGTGTAAAGGCATTATAGTTATGAATTCCACAAAATGGCCACTTTTCTGAACAATGTTAGCTCTTACTATTTTATTGACGGATCTTGTGGATGACATCTCTTATGAAAGTTGCTGCTAACACCATATGGTGGCTACAGCCTGAGCAGAAAATAGTTGCAGAGTTGTACTCTTGAATGAGACTCTAGGGTTGCAGCTTTAACTGAGTTGTTTTCTTTTTTAAAAATTATTTTATGGATAAAGCACCACCCGGGAGTCAGGAGGAACTGAGTTCAAATCTGGCCTCAGACACTTGATACTTATTAGCTGTATGACCCTGGGCAAGTCACTTAACCCCAATTGCCTCACCAAAAAAGAGAAAAAAAAGAAAGAAAAATTATTTTAACACAGCAAATATGAACAAACCTTGGAGTATACATCTCCCTAAAGTCAAGCAAAACAAACAATTACAACCAGTTTACTCTTTGTTAAAAGGAAGGCTGTGTGTTTTAACAGAGGTAGTTCACTATATTTAATCTGAGTTTTGTTGCCTTTTTACAAAGATGTAATTAGTGGATATATTATTCTTTCAGACTGGGTTTATTATTTACTCTGTATTACTTTAGGCATATTTCTTTGAATTCTTCCTATTTGTCATTTCTTAAGGTATAAAATTTTGTTATATTCATTAACTACAATTTGTTCAACCAATTCCTAATTGCTGGACATAAAGATGTTTTCCCTTTTCAGCTTTTCCTTGTAAGTAGTGCAGCTGTTAACTATTACAAAGTCTATACATGTATAATCTAGTTTTTATGATCTCCCAGTCATTTGCAATTGGGTAAAATGGAAGACCAATAAAAGAATCGTTCCTTCTTTCAAAAGGCCACAAAGCAAATAATTACCAGGAAAGTAGCAAAGTGATGGTAGAAAACTCTTATTCATGTGGTTCCCTCCTCAAGGGAAGGCTTCTTTGCACTGTTACCTCTGTCACCTCTCTTGGGAATGAATAACTAAGGCTTACAACAGAGAGGAGAATTGGGAGTCTAATAAATAACAAAATGAAAGATTTCAAAAGTTTCTGTGACTACTAGATAAGCTAACATTACGCATATATGATAGTCATTAGACACCTCCTCAATTTTCTTCTCTTCCCAACTAAATGACCTAATCCCTTGATTTGTCATGCCTGAAAAATCACTGGGAACATTCTCAAACTGTGGTGGGCTCACTTTTCCAGCTGTGTTCCACCCTCACTAATCCTTTTTAATTAACTCTCACCATGGATTTACTGGTAACACTCTGGTGATATGGAATGCACAGTAGCAAATAGTAATCCACCCCTGTTCTTTCTTACCTTCTTTTCCTTCCCTCAAGCACTGAACTCCCAAATTGTTAAATCCGAGGTGAGGTAAGATTTTATGTGTCTTATGCATTGGCTGTACATAAGCCATAAGAAATTATCTGTAGGAAATGCAAAATAATGTTATAGCCATTTATGTTAGCTTTCCATTATTTTTTCTCACTTCTTACTATTTGGTTCTGGCTTTTAAAATAAAAAACTATAACTTTCACTTTTCCAATGATTAAATACTTTAATTGAACATATTTAAAATTAATTAGCTATAGATACATATCTGCCATTGTTACAATCTAAATAGTTTCTGATTGACAAAGAATCAGTGGAGTCTGAATGTAGATCAAAGCATACTATTTTCACTTTTTTTTGCTCTATTTCTTCTTTCACAACATGACTAATATAGAAATATGTTTTACATGACTGCATATATACAACCTCTATCAAATTACTTACCTTTTTTTTTTTTTTAAGGCATTTGGGGTTAAGTGACTTGCCCGAGGTCACACAGCTAGTAAATGCTAAGTTTTTGGTCTGAAGCCGAATTTGAACTCAGGTCTTCCTAAATCCAGAGCCCAGTGCTCTATACACTGCGCCACCTAGCTGCCCCATGCTTACCATTTCTTTTGGGGAGGAGGAAAGGAAGGAAAAAATTTGGAACTCAAAATTTTTTAAAAAATGAATGTTAAAAATTGTCTTTACATGTAATGGGAAAAAAATAAAATACTATTTAAAGAGGAAAAAAATAGATTTCCTCACAAAAAAAAATTTGCTGGTTTACTTACTCATCAGAGTCCCTTTAAACTCTCCCCACAATTTAAATAACAATGTAAAATTATCTCTTTCACAATATAACACTCATATAAAATCACCATTCAAAACTTGAATAAACAAACCTTTTCCAAATAATTTCAGTGCTGATGGACAACTATACAAGGGCAAGTCAACTGATTATAGTCACGATTGATGATGAGTACTGCTTTAGAGCCTTTTTTCACAAGTAAGATGTGATGATACACATACAACAGCTGGATGAATGGTCCTTTGGAAGCTCCTAATGTATTTTTAATTATGCTGTTAACATCAAATTGTTACCAAGATGTTTTATGCTTTTATTTCAGTAAGCTAAAGTTCAAGGGGAAGATGAGGAAAAACTAATCTCCAAATGATTCACTTAAAAGACAAAACAAAACACCTCACTGCTTGAAGAATGTTAAATAAAGTTGGGGCATATTTCCATCAGATGTAAGCATTTCTGGTGTTAAGGATGCCTAATAGTGTAGGATCAATAATGTCAGGAACTTTAAGATGTCTTATCAATTTACAGATTCATATGGTTCTCGTCTTCCTTTTTGCCACTAGATTTTTCAGGAAAAATTCACCTATTGAAGGAAAACAACAATTTATATTAATATTCCAATGAAAGTCAGTTCCATTTGAAAAAAATTTTTTTTAAGTGTCTATAATTTCATTATTCAATTACAATGGTTCCCAGTTGCTTAATTTGCTACCTTGAGAAATTTTCAACACTGGAATTTTTATCTTCTTTCAAATCCCAAAGCCAATATTTTTCTAATAGAACTGCTAGCTTTTTCACCTTTATCATTTGTTAGCTGTCTTTTTGCCCCTATAATTATTGCCAGCTCTCAATCCTTTTCTTAGCTTATTACCCCCTTTTAATCTGTTATTCTTTCTAGAAACATAATAATATAAATATAAAAGATATCCCTATTCTGTAAGTCTACAGTTATGTATTTAAATTTGCCTTACATAAGCTGTCTAACTAACAAAGTGTATTTGTTACTGTTAGCAAAATTCATTTCTGAAAACAAAATCTATTACATTATTATCTAGGGTATGATGTTTTATAAAAGACATTTTTGTGGCTGAGAAGACACAACTGGTTAAAACTATTTAGCTCAATCAATTCCAAAGAGGAAGATAAAACTTGCTTCATAATGATTTCACCATTTGAACTTTTACTTTTATTTGGCACATATGCTGTAGTATAATTCCCCTTTATCTTGGATCTTTTCCTTTTGCATGTTTTCCCCCTCCTGAAAAATACCTTCCCTTAAAAATTCCACATTTGTAGGCTAGCCCTTCTTTGTTTCCATTTCCTTTGGTCTCATAGGGCCTGGTGATGTAATCTGTATGTTAAATAAAGTTGGGGCATATTTGCATCAGATGTAAGCATTTCTGGTGTTAAGAATGCCTAATAGTGTAGGATCAATAATGTCAGGAACTTTAAGATGTCTTATCAATTTACAGATTCATATGGTTCTCGTCTTCCTTTTTAATCAACAAGTGTTTCTTTTTTGTGGTTGTTGGGTTGTTTTTTTTTGTTTTTTTTTTTTGTTAGGCAATTGGGGTTAAGTGATTTGCCCAGGGTCACAGAGCTAGCAAGTGTCAAGTGTTTGGTCTGAGGCCAGATTTGAACTCAGGTCCTCCTGACTTCAAGGCCAGTGCTCTATCCACTGTGCCACCGAGCTGCCCCCAGCAAGTGTTTCTTAAGTGCTCTCTGCAAACACCACAACACAACCTCTATTTTTTCAAAGTACACATTATAACTACACCATCCCCTCCCAATCATGTTGCTATGATCTATTAGCTATCTGGACCCTCTCCTACCTTCCTCCATGATTCTGGCACTTGGCTCAGTTTTTCTCTCTACTCCTTCCATCATTCTTGAAGACTTCAATAGCCATTCTATTGAGCCTTCTAACACCCTCTTCTCATTCCCCCAACTTCCAACTTTACTTTTTGGGCATACTTAAGGCCTCACCATCACTAAAATTGTTCTAATATCTGAAATTCAGAAAATTCTTTTATCTGGTCAAAAAGTCTTTTCCCACTCCTTTATGAGCCTAATATTTGTTCCTTACTTCTACTGTAATAGTTGGACTCTCTATTTCTTCCCCTTTAATCCATCCTGTTCTGATCTTACCTCCTTGCCTACCTGGCCTTTACCCTAATATGTCATTTTAGTAATGCCCTGTCCTTCACTATTGTATCACTTTTCTCCTTAATATTCTGCTATTCTTGTCCAGCTATTAACTCGGTGTAATGCATCTCCACATCTATTTCCACATGGTTGAGCACTTTTGAAGGCAGTCACAAAACTAAGTACGTACAAATTTATGTTATCTTACCCCAACTTGGCTGTCTACTGCAGGCATTCACTATTTACTCTCCTATTCCCCACCACAGCCTCCAATTCCACTTTCCTTGTCAGTAGATAATTTTGCCTTCTAACTTTACAGAGATAGATGACTGAAGTCATTTGACCTCAACTCCCTTGACTTCCCTTCTCTTCACTTTTTGAAGCACAGACCTTAAGTATCCTCTTCTTTTCTTTCCCATTATCTTAACTCAGGATCAGAAATGAGGTGAATTCTAAGACCTGTAGTCAATTAGGCTTATCACAAGCCCAAGGATAGGGAGAATAGTCCTGGGAACACTTTCACATCCACTTAGCCTGGCAGAAGAGGGCTGAATATCATCATTTGAGTGTTAAAAAAACCAAGATCTATAGGAATACCATGACTAGGTCTGTATCTCAAAACAGATAAAAAACCAAAAAGGAAAAGGACCTATATGTATAAAAATATTTATAGAAGCTATTTTCTGGGGGCAAAGAATTGGAAATTGAGGGGATATCCATCAATTGGGGAACAGCTGAACAAATTGTGGTATGTGATTAGGATGGAATATTGTTGTGCTATAAGAAATGATGAGGAGGATTCTCTCAGAAAAATATGGAAAGACTTATATGAGCTGATGCAAAGTGAAATGTACTGTGTAACAGCAATATTGTAAGATGATCAGCTGTGAATGGCTTAGCTATTCTCAGCAATACAATGATCCAAGACCACTCTGAAGGACCCACAATGAAAAATGCTATCCATCCCCAGAGAAAGAACTGATGGTGTCTGAATACAGACTAAAACATACTTTTTAAACTTTATTTTTCTTGATGTTTTGGTTTGGGGTATTTTTTGATCTATATTTTCTTTCGCAACATGTCTATTATGGAACTGTTTTGCATGACTACACACATATAACCTATATTGCACTGCTTGCCTTCTCAATGAAGAGGGCTGAGGAGGGAGAAACGGAGAGAATACTGAACTCAAAGTTTTAAAAATGAAATGTTAAAAATTGTTCTTACATGTAACTGAGAAAAATAAAATACTAAACAAATTAAAAGTTTGTGGACTGATGTCCAAATAATAACTTTTTCTAACTTGACTGAAAATTCTATTTCTATATATTAATACAGAAATGTATTGGTAGTATTTAGTGTTTAGATATCAGAAAAATTCTTGTCAAGTGTTATTTCTGTGAAGTTCAAAAAATTTTAAGAGATGCTTCTTGCTTAATTATGGTCCTTATATATTAAAAATTATACATAATTTTTTTAACTTTCTCAGTATCACTACGTGAGGTGCAATGTAATTTGTTTCTTAAGTCCCATCATCTTAGTATTTTCTACTAAATGAGAGTCTATGTTTTCATAACTTATACCTACTGTTAGTTAGTTCATTACAACTCCTTTAATATCCTAGGAGAAACACTGAATAATAGTAATATATTTAAGCATTAACATGTGGAACCATAATTTTTAATCAAGTTAGAAAATGCTCATATTTAGAATTTAAATATATTTTAAAAATACTTTTTCTTTGGACCTATGTCTAAAAATATTTTAAACAGCGTTCTTCCAAAACCAAACCAAACAGGATTTTAAATCCCACTGACATCAAATGTGGCATAAACCTTCTTTATGTTAAATCTGTATTTGTGGTCGTTATTTAGTTGCGGAGTCGTGTCCAACTCTTTGTGACCCCACAGACCATATTTGCACACTAGGCCTTTCTCACATCAGGGGTTCATCTTCCAATGTCCTATCTTCTAGCATTCTAATACTGTTCATATGGTTTTCTTGGCAAAGACACTGGAGCAGTTTGCCATTTCTTTTCCAATGGATCACTTGTTGTCAGAACTCTGCATTATGACCTGCCTGTCTTGGGTAAGCCTGCATGGCAAAAACCATAGTTTCCCTGAGCTACACAAGACCCTCTGTCATGACAAGGATCACCACAAACAAGGAGGGGTTAAATCTGTATAGGAAATGTTTTATCTGACCCCATCTTTAAAGGGCATTATTCTCCTTAGAAAATGTTTTCTTAGGGGGCAGCTCAGTGGCGCGGTGAATAGAGCTCTGGCCTTGGAGTCAGGAGGACTTGAGTTCAAATCCAGTCTCAGACACTTAATACTTACTAGCTGTGTGACCCTGGGCAAGTCACTTAACCCCGATCGCCTCACCAAAAAAAAAAAAAGTTTTCTTTCAGACTCAAGCTACTTCCCAAAGTAAGAACTGAATTTCAGAGAGACAAGCTTTAAAGTTCCTTGCCTCTAGAAAAAAAGAAATTAGAAAGGTAAGTGTTCACATAATGCTATCAGAAAGCCATTTTTTACAGCTGGAAATGATCTGATTGTGAGGACTTAGAGATGCTGCTGGCACCATTTTCAAATTAGTCCTTGACAAAAAAGATAAACATGCCTCAGGAAAATATATTATTGAACATCATGCTATAGAAATTTGAACTATGAAAACAAACTGCTTATTTCCAAAAATATCATTTCACCTGGGCTGTAAAAGAAACAAAAACCAGAGAGAAGAAAAAGTTCTTGGTTTAATAAGCAAACTATATTTAAGAAATACTTCCCTTAAAATATAGCATCTGTCATTTAAAAAAAACTTATATAATACCCTATAAAACAAACTTAAAATAAAAATAACTTTAACCGTAATTTGTTGCAGAACTTTGGTCTGGGATTTTACATTACATGTAAAGTTATAACTTAAACAAAAAAGCATCCTTCAGTCCTTACCTGCTTTATATGAGGAGCGTACTAATGGCCCACTGGCAGTATAATAAAATCCAAGTTCATTTCCTATTTTTTCCCAGTACTTGAACTTTTCAGGAGTAATATACTCTTCTACCTAGATTTAAGGAAGTATTTAAGATCAATTTCTAGTAATTCCTCAAAATCATAACATAGGAAAATAACGCCTTTGCCTTTTTTATCGGAATGAAAGTCTACTCTTGATTATTCACTTTTTGACCTAAAGAACTGAATTTCTGGCTCAGACCTCGTGGATCTGTCAATCTAACCTCTCCAAATTTCACAGATGAGGACCTGAGGCCAAATGAATTTAAATGAAGAGTTGAGAACCTAGTTTCTTGTCTTCTCATCCACTGCTTTCTCTACTATGATATACTGCTTTCTAAGTTTCTGCTTTTCCCTCTTTATTAGCTTGCTATCTATCTCTGCCTTCTAGTGATTTCATGGGTTCATGTGTACTTACTAGAGCTAAGACAGGGAAAGAGAGAAGAAGATACAAAAGCCAACTGTGCTCTAATATTTGAAATGCCAAAAAATGGCAAAGGAAAAAAGATAATCATATCCATAAACCTTATTTATCTATTCTACTGTTTTATCTAGTAGTAGACAAAATCAAGAACTAATAAAGTTGGATTATGCCAATATAATAAAAATGGCAATACTTACTTAAATTTAAAGATTTAGAGCTAAAGCTAACTGCCAAAGAGTTATTTTATGAAACTAGAAAAAAAATAACAAAAATCATCTGGAGGAAAAAAAAGGCACAGCTGGGGCCCCTCTTAAAAGAGCTTTCTGAGTAGGCAGTCACCAACTGAGAGAACAGGACCTAAGTTTTTCGGTTGTTTCAGTTGAGTGCCACTTTTCGTGACCCCATTTAGTGTTTTCTTGGCAAAGATACTGAAGCAGTTTGCCATTTTTTTCTCCAGATCATTTTACAGATGAGGGAACTAAGCAAACAAGGTTAAGTGACCTGCTCAGGGTGACACAGCTAGTAAGTGTCTGGAGTCGGATTTGAACTCAGGAATATGAGTCTTCCTGACTTCAGGCCCCACACTCTAACCACTATGGCACTACCTAGGTGCCTTTTAAGGCCTAAGTACCAGATCTCAAACTATACTAACAAAGCAATAATATTCAAAACTATCTAATACTATTTAAAAAGCAGAAAAGTTGACCAGTGGACAAATCAGGTAGTTAATACCTAGAAGCAACTGAACTCAGAAGCATAGTGTTTGAAATCCAAAGGCCCCAAATATGAGGGTAAGGAGAAGCTACTTGATGAAAACTACCTGGAAAACCAGAAAGCAGTCTGGTAGAAATTAGATTCAGATCAACATCTCACACTGTATACCAAAATAAGCTCCAAATTAGATGTAGGTATAAAATGTCATTACAAATTAGAATCATAGAAAGTTAATAGTTTTCACAACTATGGAAAGGAGAAGAGTTCTTCTCCAAATAAGGGATAGTAAAATCTATAAGGGGTAAAATGGACAATTTTGATCACATAAAATAAAAAGCTTTTGCTCAAACAAAATCAATGCAAGCAGAAAGGAAACAACTGGAAAAAAAGGATCTTTGTAACAAATTTCTCTTACGAAGATCTCTTATCCAAGAGACACAGCGAAATGATACAATCATTTAAGAAGAGGCACTCTCTGAAAGATACATAGTCAAAAAATATGAACTGGCAGTTAGTTCTTAAAATACAGGCAAGTTATCAACAACCATATGAAAAAATACTCCAGATCATTTGTATGAGAAATAGAAATAGAAGCAACCCTGGAGCTTGTACCCCATACCCATCAGATTGCAAAGATGACAAAAAGAGACTTATTGGAGGATAGGAACACTAATGCTAGTGCATTATGCAATGCATTCTGGAAGGCAATTTGGAACCATACAATTGCATGTGCCCGTTTACCCAGTGATATCAGTACTAGGTATATACCCCAAAGAGATCAAAGAAAGAGGGAAAAGTCCCACATACAGAAAAATATTTACAGAACATTTTTCAGTATTGCAAAGAATTAGAAAATAAGGATGCTCATCAATTGGGGAATAGCTAAACAAATTATGGTATATGAATATGATAAAATGTTATTAAGCCATAAGAAATTGTAAGATGGATAGATTAGGAGAAACATTCCAGGACTCGGATGAACTGATGCAGAGTGAAAGAAGCCGAATCAGGACAGCAATCTAGAAATGACCACAACACTAAAAGAAAAAGAACAATGACAAATGCAATCACTAATCCCAACGCCAGAAGACTGATGCTGGACCAAGCTTTCCACCTCTTAACAGAGAGGTGACAGTCTAAAAGTACTGAGTGAAACAGACACTTTCAGACATGACCAATATGTGACTGGTTTAGCTTAGGTGTACTTATCTGGTTGGTGGAAAGGAGGGATTTTTTCTGGTGGAGGGGTTGGGGGGTGAGGTACATTATAAAAAGGAGTGGAGACTAGCCAAAAAAAGAAAAGAAAGAAACATCAGTGAAATATTTTTAAAAAACACAGAAAAGAGTAGAAGGAAACAAAGACAAGCAGGGCAATATAGGAACTACTGTGATAAATTAATACGTACTTCCAAAAAAATCTGTCTCTAATAGAGAATCATGATGTCATATACAATCCCTCCTGTTCTTCTTTGTATAAGGAAATGTCCATTTTTACTGATGGCATCAACTTTAAACAAGAGAAAATGAAAATTTCTTAAAAGATTTAAAAAAAAAAAAGAATTAACCAAATCTAGGTCAAAAGCAGCACCTTGGAGGTCTTGTCCTTTGTTCCTTACTTCTCTGCTACCTCACATATAATCCTTAGACAAGCACGTTGGACTGGGAGTCAGGAACACCTGGATTCAACTCCTGCCTCAAACACATTTAATCTCTCTGGGTGTCAGTTTGTTCATTTGTAAAATGAAGAGGTTAGACTTGACAACCTTTAAGGCCCAGCTCAGATCCAGCATTCTATGAGTGGGCTTTTCCCCATTCCCTTTGCACGTGCTCTTTCTAGTGTTATAAACCTTGGCAGGTGGCAACAGGTCACTTCTATGTAGAATAAAATGAAAATGAGGCCTCTTAAATGCACATAATGTAGCATATGCAGTATTTTGATTGTCTAGTTTTCAAGCTGAGGATCCAATTTAAATTGCTATGAAGTTTCCAGAAAAAGGAAAGATACCGTACCTTAAGATGACGCTTTGTTGGTTGCATGTATTGTCCTAAAGTCAAACAGTCCACATCTGCCTCACGTAGTGCTATGGAAAGAAGCACAAACTGTCTTAGCAGATGTTATGACAGTGTACTTTTAGGTCTCGTGCTTACTCTGGTGTGCTCCGGAACAGTGTGGGAGGGAACTTTAAACTGACCTATAACTCTGGTGATCAGGATCAGACCTATGCTGCATCTAATGGACTAATCATGTTATAATAGGTTTTTACTCTGTGTAGAATTTATATTTGGTGGCATGTGGTTGGATCTATGATATATCTGAATAACTAACTGTTTTGAAGAGAATTCTACTATGAAGGGTTAAGACTGGCTAATTTGATTAAGTTTTAAAATAAGTGACCAGACAAATGTTTTTAAGTAGAATAAAAATATATGGGAGAAATAAATAAAATTATAGTTTTGCAAGCTACAAACCCAAAAATTAACACAGAAAATGGATTTCTAGGATTAGAATTCAATACAGCCCAAAGTTTTAGGATGCTATGTGATCATATAAATGAAGGATAATGTTATATTCTAACTTCATTCAAAGGTAGGGAGAAAAGTAACGTAAAAGACTCACATTCAGGGTTTGATGACTACCTTTCAAAGTAATAAGACAGTGAATTTTTTTCTTTTTGCTAATTGATTGTAACCACTTTCTGTATATGACAGTTATATTTAAACTACAGAAACATGGGAAGCAGCATAAGGACATGCGAGGACCTTCAATGTGGACTCCTCACAATTACCATATTAAATAAGAAAGGTTCCCTGGTTTTTTCTAATTTACCTTTCATTGTTGAATATACTTGCTCATCAGTCTCTCCTAAGCCCAACATTATCGATGTTTTCGAAATGACACCAGGCTGAACCTTCTTGGCATGTTTCAAAACTTGCAGAGATTGGTTAAAATTGGCTCGGGGATCACGTACTTTCCTTTAAAAAGATCAGTGTTATCAATGAATCAAATTAAAAGAAGTTCAAGACTTGAAAACACTAGAAAATTGCATATTCTATATGTCATGTCATTTAGTGGTAGTACTTCTGCTTAAATATTTTACAGTTAAATAAGAAGAAAACAAGATGTTGGTGGCATCCTGGGGTCCTCTCTAGGTGTTCTGCTTGTGGTAAAGGCAGTAAGACTGGGCAAAGACAGAGCACAGTGTCCAAGGAAGGGGCTTCTCCCATCATAACCATTTTGGTATTAAAAATCCAGCAATTAGAAGCTACAGAAGATAAATAAAAAGAGGTGGTCAGAGTGTTTGTGTATAGGAATTTGGAGAAGGTAAAAGGCCTACTAACTGAACAAAGAAAAAAATTAAGTTGAATCTACTATTCCAATGTCTGAACAACTTTTATGCTGATTCTTTTTATAAAGAACAAACTACACTCTGCTGGCAAAAAAAAACAAACCCAAAATGTTCCAGGATATTCAAGGAAAAAAAATAGATGATTCTGGAATTTTCAGTGAAAAGAATAATGTTACTTAAGCAGAACTAGTCAACTGGCACCGACTGGTGGTGGGATGTAAAACAAGGGAAAGCTGTAGTGGGCTGTGTGCCAGACTTAAATGGAAAAAAAAACGGAAAAAAAAACTCTAAGCAGTAGATATACCAGAAAGTTGCTAATATAAATAAAAAAACTTTCTAATATTTTCATATTAAATTTGGTTGATATATGATATGAAACCAATTAGCTGGGGAGAGAGAAAGAAAAACTTAAGTGACTTTAAAATCACAACAATTGCTGGAGAAAGGCTAATTACTTCTGAAAACTCTTCTCTTCTGAATTAAATTAATTCCTCCATATGTTTGTGATTTAGTTAAAATGCTGATGACTGCTTGCAATGGCTGCTCCTTTCAAATTTTACTGCACTGGGTAATAATGTGAACAATTGCACAAAATCATTGGAAAATGCTTTCCCAAAATCCAAGGAAAAGAAAGGGTTTCAAAATTAATCCTGACTCAAGGTTAAAAGAATTTTTTTTAACACCCAATACAGGTCTAAATGTGAAATCTTAAAGGTCCAGCAATTGTTTCTAATATTGAATAAGAAAAAAAAAGAGGCTGTCGATTTTTCTTAAACAAGGCCAAGTGTATTTGAAGGGAAAAGTACTAACAGGATCTTCTGCATCATTGAAGGGAGAACTCCCTTGTTCCTTAAATTGGCATCTTCAGAATTATGACTGACTGAAGTTGTCTCTCATATAAAATTGTGCTACCTTAAAAAAAATTACTTTGAAAATAACCTCATGATCTTACAAAGGAGCACCATGACAACTTGGGCCTCCAAAGTCAACATGCCCAGCTTTGAACAAGTCATCTCACCTCTTAATGCCTCAGACAACTCTCTAACACAGTAAGTAGGAGACAAAAGGGAAGGTCCTTTTAGGACCTCCCAATGATGATAAAAATCACAGGGCAATGCTAAACAAAAAAGATTCTTGTGTGTGTGTGTGTGTGTGTGTGTGTGTGTGTGTGTGTGTGTGTGTAAAATCACCTCTGTAATTCTGGAACAGTTTCCACATTATGGGCATACACATCTAATCCTGAGAGGGCAACTTTCTCGACAGATTTCAGGTCTCCTCGGAAATCAGGGGTCAGGCATTCCACTAATATATTTGAATTCCTAGAGAAAAATAAATAAGGAAAATAAAAATGATGAATAGTGAACTGTTAATAATATTGTTGCTCACATCCAAGATTTCTAGAACTTGTTCAACAGAATTTTTAATAATCTTTAGCTCTTCAGCCTTTGTTTTTAAAATAAAGTTTACGTGGTCAAATAGCACACATTCAGGAAAGAGAATATGGATATATTTCATCTGAATCAGTGTTCAATCAAGTACTATCTGGTAACTGAAATTTTTATTTCTGTTTTAAAACTGTAATGTTTAATTTCATCAAATGAAATTCCCTAAATTTCTTAGAACTACAGTAAAAGCTATTTTTTGGGTTGTTGAGGTGCCAGCTTTGCTCAAATGAACTGCAAGCTAAACTTTAATCTTCCTACTTGCACTTTAGTTATACCTACTGGTTCAGGACCAGTAATATGAAATGGTTATAAAAATTTTTAAAGCCACAGCTGACAATCTGATACTTAATAATTACTGCTATAAATTTCCTAGACCTTTTCCCTGGGAGAGTACCTACAGAGAACACCATATATATTCATTCTTTAGGGATGACTGATTGGAAAAAGAGCGCTCAATAGTTACTCAATGCCTACTATACCTGAGGCACCCCACATTATTGCCTGCCAAGTCTCTGGAAAAAGAAGGTGGAAGTGTAGTGTAGCAGATAGGGAACTGAACTTGAAGTGAGAGGCATTTGAGTTCAAATTCTGCTATTTTCCAAGTACCACTTAGTAAACTTTCCATTCTGGTAAATTTCCTCCTTAATACATTTTCCTCTCTAAATTAAACCAGGTTTCTTAGAAGAATCATTATAATAATCCACATATGAAGAGCTCCTCCTATAAACAGAGAGAAATACAACCCCTTCAGATCGAGGATCCATGACCATATTAGACCTCTGGAAATTCAAGTCCATAAAAATAAATATTAATGCATTCTAACATTACTATTATGCAATGAACTATGCGAGGCACTAGAAACCACTCCCTCACCCCAAAATGTAAAACAATGGATGCTGAAGAAACACAGAATAATTTCATCAAATGACCTTACTGAAGCAATATGTTAATGCTACAAAATGGGAAGGAGATAAAAGAAAAGAAGTCAACACTGACAATGACTATTTTCCAAAGAAGTTTGATCAATATAATTTAATTGCCATATCAAAGAGACCAAAAAGGACTAGAAGCCACTTTAGCCAGAAAACATCTGACTTCCTTAACAAGCTGAGGCATCCAAGGCCAAAACCAGTTTAAATATATAAATTCATTTGTAAAATCATTAGTGTAGGGGATGATGGAGAATAATGAGCAACATCACAAAAAAATCAAAATCAATGCAGAAAGTTCAGTAGAATATCCAACTAAAGAGATTGTGCCTAGGGCATTTAAGGAAGACAATGAAAGGAAGATCAAAAAAAACCAAAACAAAAGCTAGAGGAAAAATGGAAAAGTTAAATAAAGATTTCCCTAACAAATTCTTTTCTCTGTCAACAACAATGGCACCACCGCATTTTGATTCTACTATCAGTCCCCAATGTGCTATTTGAGAAAGTAGAAATAGCAATTAAAAAAAACAAGGATGGGAAGAACTACTGTGCTTGACATTTAAAAATGTAAAAATCATTTTAGCTTTGAGCCACAAAAAACAGGTGGCAGGCTGGATTTGGCTGGGTGCTGTAATTTGTCAATCCTTGCCCTAAAGAACACAAGCTCAGCTCAGTATTCCCTCCAGAAGTGTCCAGAGCCCTACCCTAACATAAAGTGTGAAATCAAGAAGTAGCCTGGAAGATGAATAGACCAAAAAAAAAAAAGAATTCTACCATTAAAAACTATTATAGATGCAAGGTCCTCAAGACACAAACTCAGAAGATAATGACTTCCTGGAAAAGAGTAAAAGAAAAAAGTCTTAAAATGTTTCTTATAAATGAAATGAAAGCGCTAGAGAAAAATTTTGAAAACAAATGCAATATGGAAGAAAGAAATGGAAAGGGAATGAACAGCTTGGAAAAAGAGGTACAAAACCTTACTCAAGCAACAAACAAAATCAGAATGGAACAAAGGAAAACTAATGACTCCATCAGATAAGAAATGTTAAAACAAAGTCAAAAGACTGAAAAAATAAAATGTAAGTATCTCATAGCAGAAACAACTGACCTAGAAACCAGACTGGGGAGAGAGAATTTATAAATCACTGAACTATCCGAAAGCCATGATTGAAAAAAGGAGCCTAGACATTTTTTTTTAATCACAAAAAAAACTTCCAGATCTCTTAGAACCAGAGAGCAAAGTAGAAATAGAAATAATTCACTGGTAACTTCCTGAAAGAAACCCCAAAATGAAAACTCCCAGAAGCATGATACCCAAAATCAGGGGCTTCCATATCAAAGAGAAAATATTGCAAGAAGCCAGAAAGAAATAATTTAAGTACTGAAGACATATAGTCAGGATCACATATGATTTAGCAACTACAACTTAAAGGAGCAGAGATCTTGGAATATGATATTCCAAAAGGCAAATGATATAGGCTTACAAGAATAACTTACCCAGCAAAACTGAGTATAATCCTAAAGGGGAAAAATGGACCTTCTAGGCATTCCTAATGAAAAGACCAGATATGTGCAGAAATTCGGACATTCAAACACAGGAGTTAGGAGAAATATAAAAACATAAACATGAATGAATGATAAGAGATTAAACAAGAATAAACTGCTTATATTCTAATACACAGAGATGACACATATGCCCCCTCAGAACCCTATGATCGTCAAGTGCCATTTTTGTTGTTCAGTTGTTTCAGTCGTGTCTGACTGTGACCTTATTCGGGTTTTTCTTGGCAACAATACTAGAGTGGTTTGCTACTTCCTTCTTACAGATGAGGAAATTGAGGCGAACTGGGTTAAGTGACTTGCCCAAGGTCACAGAGCTAATAAATATCTGAGTCCAGATTTTAATTCAGGTTTTCCTGACTCCAGGCCCAGTGCTCTATCCATCGAGACACTTAGCTGCTCCTTCAAATGCCACAGAAGGAGTCTAATTAGAAAGAGAGGCCTGGGAGTGAGTTATGTTTTGATGATCTTGAAATATGAATGAAAAGGGAGAGGAAAAGGAATACTCTGGGGGGGAGGGGAAGGGTAAAGTAAGATAAAGAATGGGGAAAATTATCTCATACAATCAGAGCACAAAAGTAGCAATCTATAGAAACATGAAGAGGGGAGATGTTAGAACTTGAACCTCACTCTCATCTGAACTGGTCAGTGCTTAGTACAATTTCTTACACACAGCAGGCACTTAAGGATTGATTTATTAAAAGAGGAAAGCATAAGTGCGCGCGCGCACACACACACACACACACACACACACACACACACACACACACCTCTCTCTCTCTCTCTGCTACAGAAATACATTTTACTCCACAGAGAAAACAGGAGGAAAAGGGAGAAGGGAGAAGGAATGAGAGGTAGGGTAGATTAAGGGACAGATTAATCCTAAACAAAACAAACTCAAACTCAGGACGTATAAAAAGTATAGCAGCCCTTTTTATGGTTGCAAAGAATTGGAAAGGGCTATTTATTGATGAATGGCTGCAAAAGTCATAATGTTTACCATATGAATGTGGTGGGATATGATTGTATTATAAGAACTGATGAAAATTAGGGAAAGCTAGGAAGATACAGCAACTGAAACTGAGTGAAGTAAGGAGAACAAGGAGAATTTATACAGTTTGTAATAAAGACAAACATCTTTGAAAAACTCAGAAATTCTGAATAATGCCATGACCAACCACGATTCAGAGAATTCATGATGAAACCTGTTATTCACATTGTGACAGATTCAGAGAGCAGACTGAGACATTTTTTGGACATGGATAATGTGCGAATTTGTTTTGCTTAACTATACTTGTTTCTATCAGAAGTTTTGCTTTTCTTTTTCTCAATACAGTTTGGGGGGGAAGTAGGAGAAAAGGAAGAATTTTTTAATGGAAAATATTTTAATAAAACCCCCCTATTATGATATTTGCATCACTTTTTCATATATTTCTTTTCCCAAATTCTCTTTCCTTTCACTGTTATCACAGAATTACCAAACTCAATTCTAATATACTGCCATCTTATTCTTGAGACATGTCTCAATTTCTAACATGAAGAATCAATTTGAGTCATAACATTCCTATTCCCATCGTATTAATTTTTAGGAATGAGTTGCCAGGCAGTACCACATTTATTACAAAACTAAACTGAAATTAGAGTAAGTGACTTGTGCCAAATCACTTTAAGAACACTGGAGATCATCCAGCAAAGGGTGAAAGACCACTTGTAGAGGATGCTGCAGATGTCATTTCTGGTCAGATAGGTATGGGTGGCACTAGGTGACCTATGACCTCTGAAGTCCCACCCAAATCTCAGATTATATTATTCTGTGCCATAGTGTGACTTGCTACAACAAAGATAGGAGTAAAACATAGTTAATCATCAGAAAAACTGAATTTCCAAATCCGTTGGTTCTCCATTTCCTTTTTCCTTTTCTTAAATAATCCTAACCACATTCAATCCAATTAAACACAGATCTACAGATATTATGGGACACCTAAGTGACAGAGTGGATAGAGTGCCAGGCCTGGATTCAGGAAGATGAGTCTTCTGAAGTTCAAATCCAGCCTCAGACACTTACTAGTTGTGCGACCCTGGGCAAGTCATTTAACCTTGTTCGCCTCAGTTTCCTCATCTGCAAAATTAGCTGTAGAAGGAAATGGCAAACCCCTCCAGTATCTGCCAAGACAGCCCCAAATGGGGTCACAAAGAGTTGGACACGACTGAAAAACAACTCAACAACAAAAAAAGATATTCTGGAGACCAATCTGATCTGATCATAAATGTTAGGAGAAATATAAATATAGATCACCTCCCCTGTGTGTCCCCAGTGTGTCCATTTTTTTCTAAATACATGTCAGGCCTTTTTGTCCAAATATTCCTGCTTGTCAGATTCCCTCTATGTATCATTGTATATGCATAATGTACCCTTTCTACTCCCTAGATATGCTTAATCCTCTTAACTCCCAGTTCTTCATCAAGCAAGGAAGAGACTCAGAGATTACAAAATAATGAAAGGTAATTAAAATGATCTATAACATTAGTAAGAAACTGGAAACAAGGATGTATTCTTCAATTGGAAAACTGCTGAACACATTGCGATAAATGACCTTAAGATTGTTAATATGCAATAAGATAGATGAACATGAGGAATGCAAAGAAACCAAGGAAGATTTGTTTGAAATGGTACAGAGATAAGTAAGCAGAACCAAGGAAAGACTATGCACAATGACTACAAGAATATTAAGAAAAATAACACTAAAAGACAATGTGATTCAGATCAATGCAATGACCAATCTTGACTGCAGAACAGTAAGGATGAAACTTATCTTTTCCTTCTCTCAGTAGAAAGGTAACAGACTACAGGTAAAGAACGAGGCACACATTGTTAATGTTCCACTTTATTTTGCTTAACTGCAGTTTTTTATTAGAAGGGAAGGTTTATTGGTGATAAGGAACAGTATCGAGAAGTGACAGCAATATTAAAATTCCCTAAGAGCAGGAAAAAACCTTTTTTTAATAGAAAAAAGGGAAAAAAGATCCACAGTATGAGATTAAGGAGTACTAGATACATCTTTACCCTTTCAACATCATGGATACCGACTATCATGCCTCCCACAAAATATCCCTTGGCGTCACTCCAAGAAAGAAGCTTAGATGTTGTGAGACATTAATATCACTGTCTAACAAGAATACAAACTGTGAGCAAAATGAAGCCAGTAAGTTATATGGATAACAGTCAAGTGGAATTTAGTATATTTTGAAAAATGTAGCTATTAACCTTACATTGATAACCCCTAAACACCAAGAGAACAATTTACTCAAAATGTCAGTATATTCGTATGCTTCAGTTGTCTAGTAGGAGTCTTGACTACATGCATTTTTTTGGTCATCAAATTTTTAGATTTTGAATTTCCCACAAGTCCTGAAATCATGACATCAAAGGGAAAAACACTCACCTTTCCTTTAAATGTAAAACTGTCTTTGCAAAGTGTTCAGCTCCACCATCAGGTAGATCTAGGAACAAAAGAATCCATTGCTCAAGATGATGCATCATGTCATAGCACTCACAGAAGTTCTATTATGCAAGAGACTATTGAGAAACCATTAACACACACACACACACACACACACACACACTCACTTTAGTTTATAGAAAGATTTGGGTTAAAGGACTGCCTCTGTTACTATATGATCTTGGATAAGTTAATCAACTTCTTTAAGCTCCATTTTTCTCATCTATAAAATGGGAAAAAAATTTTAAAAATATCCATAGACCTTACTTACAAGGTAGGTGAAATAAGTATAAAGAAGAAGATAAAGGACATAAGAACCTGGGCCTATACACATAAGAGTTGAAAGAACCTTAGAGAGGCAGCTAGGTGGCACAGTGGATAGAGTACCGGCTCTGAAGTTAGGAGGACCTGAGTTCAAATCTGGCCTCAGACCAAACACTTGACACTTACTAGCTGTGGGACCCTGGGCAAGTCACTTAAACCCAACTGCCTAAAAACAAACAAAACAAACAAACCCCCACCCCAAAAGGACCTTAGAGAACATTGAATCCAACTCTTATTTTACAGATAAGGAAATTTAGGCATATTTGAGTGCTCAGGGTCAATCAATCAATCAATGGACAAGCATTTAACAAAAATCTGCTATGTGCCTAGGCACTGGGGATACAAGTACAAAAAGAAACAATCCCTATTTGGAAAAAGCTTACTTGGGAGACAAGAAGTATATGTAAAATATATATACAGCATAAAATTAATAATAGAAATATACAAAAAATAGTCGCACATAGGGTAGTTTGGAAAGGTCACTAGTGATTGAGAGAATCAGGAAAGGCTTCAGGCAGAAAATAGTGCCTAACCTGTCTGTGAAAGGAAGAGAGGGACAACAGACAAGGAAAGATACATTCCAAGCATGGGGATGACCAGGGCAAAGGAAGGGAAATGTGTGATGGAGTATCTTTTTTTTTTTTTTGAGGGTCACAAGTCAGCATTTATTATTTAAGTTGAAGAACAGGTTATGAAGGGGGTGGGGGTGGGGAGCCCAGGAGAGGGGGAAGAAGGGAGGAGCCAGGGAGCTGGGAGCCTCTCCTGTGTTTGCTCCAGATGGGGTTGATCCTGATTTCTGAGCCTTGGTCCAGGGCACACAATGAAGTACACGATAAGATGAGGTTCCAGGGGCTACAGGTTTAGGAAACACCAAGGGGTGGCCAAAGTTATACATCCAACCAGAGGTGAGGGCTGGGATTAGCAACACTGCTTCCTTTTAGGAACTGAAGCATAGTGACAAGTTCCATCCCACTTATTTCAACTCTTATTCTTGTAGTTAAAGTCTTTGCACTAATGAATTCTTTCATCGCCTCTCTAACTTCTTGTACTTTGCTACGAGTTTCTTTGAATGTGCATCCAACTTGTAAGCTCCCTGCTCCAGAGCTGCTACTTGCTCCTCAATTAAAGTGATCTGATCCAGATAAGGCTGAAGTGTTGCAGATTTCTGGTTTAAGTCCTTTAGGTCTCTACTTATGTTTACTGCAATATCTTTCATTTCCAGATACTTCAAGCTAGTCAGTTTGTTCATATTTTGCAGAAATTTATAGTCTTCACCGGTGGCTGTCAGCTCACCCGTTAGGTACGTGGCCATTTTGGAGAACATGTCCTGGCACAGCCCCATGATGTCCGCCTTGGCGGGCTCCGTGGCCTTCTCAGCCATCTCCACCACGGCATCGTCCAGGCCGGGGAACGGAAGGCAAAAGGATGGAGGGAAGGATGAGGATGGGGAAGAGGGGAAGGGAAGGGAGGGGGGAAGGGAAGAGAAGGAGAGGGGGGGAGAGGAGCAGGGGGGGAAGGGAGGGAAGGGGAGAAAAAGGGAAGGGTGAAGAGTCGGAGAAGGAGGTAAGGGGAGGGGGCCATGGAGTATCTTAAGAACAGAGAAAAGCCCAGTTTGCCTGGATCGAAGAATACAGGAAGGGAAATAATGTCTAGTGATGCTACAAAGAGAGGTGCAGGGTTCTCTTCAAACAGAGGAGTTTAATTTTATCCTAAAGGAAACAGGAAATGACTGGAGTTAACTGAGTAAGAGAAGCACATGGTAAGATCTCTGTGTTTAAGAAAAATGACTTTGGTAGTAATATGCAACGTGGACACTCAAGGCAGGGGAGGCCAATTTGGTGAAAGATGATTTAAGTCTGAACCAAGGTAGGAGCTTTGTGAGTACAGAGATCTGAAAGATGACATGAAGGTAGATACATTATGACTTGACAAAAGATTGGATATGTGGGGAAAGGAAGAGCAAGGAGTCAAGGATAATGCCATGGTAATGAACTTGGTGATGAATTCTTTGTCTATGGAAACCCATAAAAAATATGGCCCTAGGAAATTTTTTTTTTTTTTTTGGGTGGGAGGGATAGAGCAAGAGAGAGACACACACACACAGGAGAAAGAGATGAAAGAGGAAGGGACAACTGAAGATACAAACTGCTAAGGGGAATGTGATCACACACACACATGTAAAGGAGTTGGCCCAAGAGCTACCTCTCTTCCAGAGACTGGGAGACAGGAGTAAAGAGTGATGTCAGTGGATTTTGAGATTTTAAAAAATGGTAGAAAAAAAGAGTTCCATCAAATAGTGATATAAGACATAGCCCTTAATCTTAGAGAGCTTATAATATAGCTGGGGAAAGTAGACATAAATATACTAAAAATTCAACAATTACAAGCCTTAAGTAATAATTCAATACAACATTGGGGAAGCACTTCATAACCACACAACCTTGCAACAAAAGTGGCTATTATTATGACTAACCATCTCGATCCACTGATGTTAGCACAACATAATCAAGTCCCCACTCTGCAATTGCTTTTGCTGTATTGTAGGGCTCATTAGAATCCAATGGAGGTGGTTTTCTTGCAGTCTTAACAGAACAAAATCTGCAACCTCTTGTACAAGTGTCCCCCATCAACTGGAAGGAAAAAGTTATAATTTAAATTACCAACTTACCTCAGTAACAAATCCATAAATATTTACTGAGTGCTTCTTTTTGTAGGACAAAGACATATAAGATATAGTCTCTATCCCTATGGACTTTAAAATCTACTTTGGGAATAGTAAAAATACATATGCTAGAAAACAAATAATAACAAACTTAGTAGTTCAAGACAATAACATAAGTCACAAAGTAATATAATTGTAAAATGATAAGGATAGACAGTAAGTGCTGTATAAATTTTACAATGAGAGAGCTCATCCTGGGCTGGATTATAGATAATATTATCAAAAAAAAATTTTAATTCACCAAAATAAAATTAAAAACCTAAACAAAGGCCACATTATTTTAGTCTGTAAGGTTCTGCAGAGGTCACAAAATATGCATTTTCTTTCTTAGACAGAAGACTTCGGGAGAACAAGATGGGGCTCACCATGATGGTGGCTGTGGCAGTGGCATGCTCTCCCCCTCCCCAGCACTCCCCAATGTTGGGGCACCGTGCTTCTTCACATACCTATAATCAGAACATAACTGACAGTAAACATGGAATTATTCATCAAACATCTAATGATTTCAAATTTCGATGTGACAGTAACAATTTTAACAATAACCATTTTCCCAGGAGCAGAATAATCACTTCAGGCTCAAGTTCCATTTTATCTCACCAAATGTGAAGCAATTATAACTTTAAACATATTCCTAATATTGAGTAGCTAACTCTATGCAGGATTTATGGTAAAACATAACAAGACTTGCACAGGATGAGAATTGTGTAAATTATAAACGTGCAAACTGAATTTGTAGAAAAGATAGAAGGAATACCCACATCAATGAAATCATGGATCCAATGAAGGATAGATCCTTTGGGAACCAGTTTTGAAGGGAAAAGGTTTTAAATTAATTTCCATTCTACACAGTAAGACAAAATTTAAATTCCTAAAACCTAAGAAAAGCAGCTTGGCAAAGTAGATAGAGCACCGGCAGTGGAGTCAAGAAGACCTGAGTTCAAATCTTGCCTAGGGAAAGCATGCTAGATGAAAAAATTATGGGAGTATATAGGTAAGAGTTGCACAGGATGGGTAGGTAGGGATGAATTGTGATCTGCATCACTGGAGGATGCTATAATGCTATAATCAATGAAAACACAGACCCATCAGTTTTTTGGAAAATTAGAGTATTGCTAAGGAAAATACTTTTTTAGGGGAAGCTAACAATATTATATACTTACTGTATGGAGATTTAAATTCCGCAAAGTATTTTTCAGCTTATTATAATTTTTTCCAATAGGAATCTCTGTTTTTAGCCATGGCGGCAAGCTTAGCCTAAGGAAAGCCAAATAAAACTATTAGGAAATATAACTCTCAATAGACACCACTGCTATTAAATTATTTTGCTGTTTTGCATTTCCAAGGTAAGAAAAAATTTCCTTCACCCTAGATCACCCCTTCTACACATAGTGTTCACTAACCTCCGATAAAAGAGGAAAACCAGATAATGAGGACCATATCTGCTTAAAACTAATCTAGAAATCATAGTTAAATAATTTGGCACTATTACCACTTCTGAGTGATTTAGGCTGTGTAATGAGTTTGTAATAAAAAGAGAAGGTTGGGGCAGCTAGGTGGTACAGTGGATAGAGCACTGCCCTGGGGTCAGGAGGACTTGAGTTCAAATTCGATTTCAGACCAGACACTTGACACTTTCTAGGTGTGTTACCCTGGGCAAGTCACTTAACCCCAAGTGACTCACACACACACACAAAAAAGAGAAGGTTCCTGTCTAGACCTAATAAAATTAATTTTTAAAATAAAACATTCAACATTCAAAACTGTAATCAGAGACAAAGTATTAAGGAACATAAAAGACATTCAGATTGATTGAAATTACAATTACCTCTCTCCTTTCTGACGTTTCAAATTTCCTTTATATTCAGCCCAGGTGTTCTTGTCTGAAAGGTCACCAGATATAAAATCCTGAAGGTCTGGTCCATTCTGTATAAACTCTTTCTTTTTGTCTGGCAAAGAACTTAATGTTTTGTACTGGCTACACAAATAGTTTCCAAGTACCTAGGAAGAGTTAATTGTGTTATTATCACCCAAAGCAGCTCATAGAATTTATCTAATGGTAAATGATCCCAGCAACAGATTATATCTACTACTCAAGAACCAGAACAGAAACCGTTTAGAAAAACAAAAAAGTTATCTCTATTTTCTGGTAGTTTGCAACCTAATACATAAAAGCACACACTGCCCATAAATACTAACTAAAAGAGAGGCAAAATTGATTTCTTATCACTAGGATCTCAAGACCAATTAAAGTACGCCACAAGTTTTATTAAAGCAAGTTCCAGCTACTTAGGAAAATTCTGTTGGCCCTGTTAAAGTTCTTGTATTAATGTATATATTTGAAAATAACAAAACTTCCATTTTAAAAAAATTCCATAATCAGAAGTTTTCTTGTTCAGTCTCATTTGTCTAAATTGGTTAGTCTTTATTGCTAAAGTTAGTCTTCATTATGTAAGAGAAATCAGTAAACTACTGCAGAAACACAAAATTTCAGAATTGGGAAGACCTCACTGGCCACCCATTCCTGAAAAAGAATCCCTTTAGATACATGCTTTTTTAGATTCTGTGATATGTGTGAAATTATTTTTAGTTATTAAATACTAGCTATACATCTAAATAAGATAAGATTAAATACTAGCTATACATCTAAATATTTTTCTCCACTTATGTTTAATAGCAAGTCTGCATTTTATAAAATCTGAAATTTGATACTCAGACCAGATAGTTGGACAAGCTACTACACACATAAGAACATCATTCTTGCATACCAATACATCATTACTGTCTACCATGGGATTATGTTTTGAGCATAGTAAATATTCACCAATAATCCCACCTGGGACACTAGCTGTCCACCTGGACACTAGCTGTATGACCATGGGCAAGTCATTTCACTCCATTCACCACCAGTTTCTTTGTCTGCAAAAAAATGGGGATACTTCTACCTATAGCACTCCTCTCAGAAGATTATTTTAAGAATTCAACTATTCACTCCAAATAGCATTTGTTAAATTCCTACCACTTGCTAGACACTGTGCTTGGTACTAAGGAATAAAGACAAAAATAAAACAGTCTTTGCTCTTAAAGAACTTACATTCTTTTGGGGGAAAGCAAAATGTACACAGATAAGTCAATACAAAGTGGATCAGGAAAGGCCTTTTATAGAAAGTAGCTATTGAACTTTAAAGGAAGCTAAGGATATTAAGAGGCACAGCAGGGGTTCTTTAACCTGTGGCCCACAAACTTGGCTTTTAAAAAATATTTTGATAACTATTTTAATATAATTTGTTCCCTTTGTATTTTATTTAATGGATTTAAAAATTATTATTCTGAGAAATCCATAGGCTTCACTAAACTGCCAAAGAGATCCATGAAACAAAAAAGAGTAAGAACCACTGAAGTCAAGAGGATAGTGAATTCCACACATAAGAGATAGTAGGGACACAGAAGATGGAATGTTACATATGAAGGACATATGGGTCAATTTGGGAGGAATGTGTTAATTAGCCTCATAAGGTAGGCAAAGATCCAGATTACAAAGAGCTTTAAATAACAGAAGAGTTTGTATTTTATCCTAGAGGCCATAGGAAACCACTGGAGTTTCTTGAACAGGGGAATAATAAGATCAGATTTGTTCTTTCAAATAGGATAATGTGCTTCCTAAAGGTCTTTACAAATTTTAACAGTCTTTATAAATGTCAGTTATTATTACAATAATTTATATTTTTTAAAAAACCTGCCCTATCTCACTGGGTTGCTGAGATCAATAAAAGGCCTTTCTTAATTCTTCTACTTGTTGGCATCAATGTATTTCCTTAATCATTTTGTATTAACTCTGTACATATACTGTTTACTCCTCAGTGAACAAGTTGTATTCCTTCCCCACCCCTCCATCCTGAATGGTATTTTTGTCTTTTTTATATTTGTATTATTTTATTTTTAATAAATAATTTTATTTTATAATATTTTATATTTATATATATATACTCTACCAGGATCTGGTAGAGTACCTAGCACCTACTCATTAGACTTGATAAATGTTGACTGGTTGAATGAGAAAACGTATAGAAACGCTCTCAGAAAAGCAGAAAGTGCTCCACAAGTGAGAGTTATGACTATTATGTTTGCTGTTTTGTCATCCTTTATAGATCTGTTCTCGTTGCTCCTGCACGTTTCCTACAGCCCCCAGCTTGAAGTCAAGGACATGGCTTGGTGCTGGGTCGGGTGGACAGCGCAAGACTGGAGGGTCAGGGTCAGCAGTGGGACGGGAAGGAGCAGGAAGGGCCTGGCAGGGTCAGCTTCCGAGCGCACCCGCCCTCCCTGGCAGCCTCCAGGGTCCTTCACTCACCCGGGACCCAAGGATGCCGGAGACCCCGCCGTAGCGGAGAGACATCCCGGAAAGGAGGCGTACAGGCCCGGCTGGCCTGCCCGAACTCGACTTGGTCTGTCACGCGGGACAGGAAGTGACGAAGAAAAGGAAGTATTCTCAAGCCACTTTCCAGGGAACGACAAAGTTCCGGTCGTCTCAGAAGAAATGCGTCATCGCGGGGCGGAGAGACGAGAAAAAGCAGAGAATGTTGATAGAGAGCTCGCGATATGGGAGTCCATCAGGGATTGGTTGGCGAGCAGTTATGACGCAAGACGCAGAGGGTTACGTGGCTACAAATACGTGATGACGGAAGACGTTCTCTCTTTAGCCCATACATCACCAGGTGAGTTGATTTTCGGGTTATGTGAATATTCTGCATCCAAGTCCATCGCTTCTGGGGAAGCCGTTCTCGGGGTTCCTTGGCCCCACACTTACACCCTGGTTCTTCCTCCGTACTGCAAGCATTGCGTGGGTCCGCCTGCCCTTGACTAAGCGCTCTAACATAACCTTGTCGTCCACCCACCCCCTCTCCCCTGCCTGGGACCTGTGGTTTGCCAGGCATTAACTTCCGGTCCGAGTTTCTCGGGGCTTTCAAGGAAAGAGGCTCCAGACCGGCCGCCTGAGCTGTGGGAGAGGTGCTCGGGGCCGGGGGAGGAGACCGCGGCCTGGGAAGAAGCGGGATCGGCTGCGGCCTAGGCCTTTTTGGGGAGAGCGAAGCCTGTGGGTGGGCCTGGTCGTGCTGTCAGACCAACCTTTCCTCTCTCCTCGAGACGAGCTGCTGCCTTGCCCCAGCGTCCCTGGGACCTCGTGCTCCCCCCGAAACTTGGGCTGGGTTGTTCTTGGTCTTTGGCTTTTTTTATGTTCTCTTTCGGCTTTTTTTCCGGCGGTGGCACTTAGGCACTGTCGGCATTGTTTTTTCATTTTGGCTTTTTGTTTTTCAGAATGAAGACCATTCTAAGCAACCAGACCGTCGACATCCCAGAAAATGGTAGTTCTTTCTTTTTTTTCTTTTTGATCCTTTAAGCCTTACTTTAAGGATGTAAACACATTTGTAGCATTGCTTCTTCTGTGTAAGAATTCAAATGCAAAAATTCAGAATCCCTCCTTTCATCATTATTGTACATAGTTGATGAATTAAGGAATCAGGCTACATTTGTAACCTGGAAAATTAGCAGGGAGTTTTGAACCAGATTGGTTTTTGGTGAATACCAGTATGGTATTCACATAAGTATAGGGGAGGAACTTGTAGATTTACTTATCAGTATTTCTTTTCTCTGGACTCAATTTTGAAATTGGTTTGTCTCCTAGTTGACATCTCTCTTAAGGGTCGGACAGTTATTGTGAAGGGGCCCAGAGGAATCCTCCGAAGGGATTTCAACCATATCAATGTTGAGCTCAGTCTCCTTGGAAAGAAGAAAAAAAGGGTAATGTGGTCATCAATATTGTTTCAAAAAATCACCCATCCTAGAAGAATGTAGGCTCTGGTAGGATGCAGACTGTTTAATGTGCTCCGTGTATCTGGTACATTGCCTTTCACACAGTAGTTGCTTATTAAGGTAACATTGCTATTAAGTTGCAGTGCTGGCACACAATTTAAACCCTCGTTCTCCATTCTAGCCATCCTAAAAGCCCTTTATTTTACAGGTGAGGACATTAAGGTCCAGAGAATAGTTACATAGTCAACTGAATGATTCAACTGTAGCATACCTCCAAAAACTAGTTCTGGCCATCAGGGTTTAAAGCTTCAATTCTGCCACTCAGTTATTTCTTAAATATATGATCGATCAACAACTAATTATTAAGCACATACTATGTCTTATGATTCTATTCTCCTGGGCTTCCTGCCTTTCTAGATTCCTTCTTCATCCTTTCTCCTTATTTTGGGGTCATCTCCCATGAACTCATCACCACGCATGTTGTACTTAAACACCAGAAAAATGATTCAGTTGATTATTAAGTCCTTACTATTAGGCCAGGTATAGCAACTATCATCAGTTTATATTCTGAGGGAGACTTACTCTCAGTAAGGGCTGGAACTCTTCTTTTTCTTTGTATGCCCTTTGCTTTTAATAAATATTTTTTGAATTCACATTCACTTTTAGTAATTAAGTTCTGAATGAAGGACAGATTAGTTTATATGAAATAATTTAAATGTGCATATTAGGAAAAAGCTCTAGAGGTTCATCTATTTTCTCTCCATAACTTATGTATTCCAGTACTCTATTGAAGTAATGAACTTACTGGCAGGGGTTGTTTAAGCTTCCATATAGATTGCTTAAGTGTTTAATACCATATTTAGTTCTGTTTTGCTTAGAACATGTTTGTTATTCTTGTCATGTGTAGTAATTAATTCCTATCCTTATTCTTACTGTCAGTGATAGTTTCTATAAAGCTTAAAACCACCTAGTCCAATTTTTCTTTGACCTCTGGCTTTTTAAAACTGCCCACTCTGGTTTGGACCATGTCAGTCTGACTATAATACATGCCGTTGGGTGGTGAAATGTTCAGTTCCAGCAGGTCTGAAAGACCATCATCTGTCGTGGTAGAGGGACTGAGATAGATATTGATGGGGAAAGTTTTCCTGTCTTTTGAATTACAAAACCTAGATCAATCGTCCCCTGGAAAAGGCCTTCTAAAATAATTTTCTGTTGCAGCTCCGGGTAGACAAGTGGTGGGGAAATCGAAAAGAACTTGCAACCGTACGCACAATCTGTAGTCATGTACAAAACATGATCAAAGGCGTTACCTTGGTAAGAGAGAGATAAATAGGACTTTTCTGGCTTCAGAGTATCTTTCCTGTACCACGCTGACCTGCCAATAGGCGGGTGTTATGTTATTGTATTTATAATAGTATAAATTTGTATTGTTTGGGGAAGGTATGGCATTTAGGTTAATGGTTTTTCCAAGTTTGGACCAAGTTTGTTGGGAAGATTTTCTGAAGGAATGATGCAGTTAAAAATGATTGTTCCTCCATCACTTTCGTATGCGTCCTTTTATTTCCCATCATAGTTCCCTTGGTTCCAGTCCTCGTTACTTCTCTCCTGAGCTATTAAAGTTGCCTCTTAATTGATCTTCCTGCTTGCCTCTAGTACATTCCCTCTCCTCTACAGCCTCCAACGTAATTTTCATATTTCTGTGGTGGCAAAATGTAGTTTTAGCATTTACTGAAAATAAATTTGAGAAGTGCGTATCTGTTTTGCAGAATTCTGCAGCTCTAAATTTGTTGGTTTAATACAGGGTTTTCGTTACAAGATGAGGTCTGTATATGCTCACTTCCCCATCAATGTTGTTATTCAAGAGAATGGCTCACTTGTCGAAATCAGAAATTTTTTGGGTGAAAAATATATCCGAAGAGTGCGCATGAGACCAGGTATGTGCATGCTTTTGTGTGAGTTGGATTTTCAGAAATTTTTATTTTGACTAACAAATGTGTGTTCAAGAGTCTTGCTATCATTTCATCATGTCTCTTGAGGCTAATGAAGTTACTGTAAGCTTGCTGTCTTTGTACTAGCCTTTGTTAATGTAGGGTCTCCACTATTGGAATATTGCATTCTCTGTTATAAAAACTATATCCAAACAATTAGCTTCAAAGATATAATTTCCTTTCATAGATGTTTGTCACTACCACCATTTGCTTACTTCTCAAACCCCAGCCTCTCTTGGCTTCAGTCCTGGTTTCTGGGAGTTTCCTTTATTCCATAAGAATATTTGCTTGGAAGCTTTTTCCTTGTGTAGAACACTGAACAGCTGAGGTCTTAAGTTAACCGGTCTTAAGTTAACCAGTCTTAAGGAAATTAGGTTATTTGATGCAGTTAGTCATACGTCGTTTATCCAATACTAATTCTGCAGAGTGTAAAAGGTGGTTGTAATCAGATCTGTTTTTCTGGAATTGTGCTCTTTTGTGTTTTATGCAAGTATTATTTGATAGAAGCCTTCCCTGTGTCAAGCTATTAAGAGGAAATGGGGGAATGTACTTCACTGTGTCCCCAGTGCCTTACACATAGGTACTTAATAATTGAATGAATGATTGAAGAACTTGGTCCAAGTCACTTTGCCTTTGGGGACTTCTCTGGAATGTTCCTTTATGTGTGTCTGCAACCAATTAGACTTTTTGTGGTGTTTTTAGGTATTTAAATATTAAATAGAACTTTAGAAGAGTATTTCATTTGTATTGGATTTATGGAATTTAATCTATAATAATCATATAATGTGACATTTGTGAAGTACCTGTTTTGTGCAGAGCTTTGCGCTTGTCCTCGAGGAGATAGTTTCAGTAAATCAGTCATTAGTGTTATTAACAAATATTGTTAATGGAAAGAGTGCTGGACTTGGGTTCAAATCCCGGGTCTAATGCTCAATTGCCATGTGAGCTGGGACAAGTCATAATATACATAGGCATAAAAATCTAGAGGTGAAAAGGACCTTAGAGGCCAGTAAATCCAACTCCCCATTTACTCCGGGTCTGGAGAGGTTAAAGAATTGCCCAGGATTACACAGTTTATAGGTCACGGAGATGTTTTGATTCTAGATAGTCTTCTTTATTTAACCTCTTTTTTCTTGCCTGCGTTGAAAATAATATTACCTTATAGTGTTACTGTATATCTCTTTAAAGAGCTATAATGGACTCAAGTATTTAAAAGATCTGAGATTACATTGGTGTGTTAGCTGCTTTTGCATTTGTAACTTCCCTATGACTTGGTCTAATCACAAGGATGGGGAACCTGTGGCCTTCTAGGTCCTTTGGTATGCGGCCTTTTGACTGAGTCCAAGTTTTATAAAACAAATCCTTTTAGGGGGATTTGTTCTGTGAAGTTTGGATTCAGTCAGAGGGCCACACCTGGCCTTAAGGCCCCAGGTTCCCAACTTAACAGTTTTGGGGGGGGGGGGAGACAGGGAATGCATTACCCAGTGGGCAATCAGGTAATTAGTTTCTCTGAAATTTGCTAAAAGCAAGTCTGTCTTGGGGCATATTCATTGTCAAAGCTTTTCTAGCTTGGTGTAGGATCTACCTATGAAGCTTGTGGTCTGCTGCTATAACCCCAAAAATCCCTCTATTCCAGCCAGGCTAGGCATCAAATGTAGAAACTAGACGGTGAGCTATTAGTTGTAATTAGGGATTGTGTGAACATACTTTTTCGATCTTTTTTCATATTAGGTGTTGCTTGTGCTGTTTCTCAAGCCCAAAAAGATGAGTTAATTCTTGAAGGAAATGATATTGAACTTGTATCAAACTCAGGTTAGTATTTTTGTGATTTTAAAATATATTTTGAAATTTTGATCTGTCATGTAGGTTAGTGTATAATTAGTACATCATTGATGTTCCCATAAAGATGTAGAAATAACCTTAATTTTTTAGGTCCAACAAAAATACAGTGGGCCTTAGAAGGACAATTGCTTGTACTTGATGGTTTCATTTGATATTTTCTGTGTTTCATCCCCTAGAAATTTTAAGTATTAGCTCTCATGAAGAAGGGGTGGTTTTTAGGTTTTAGTCCAAGTTGGCTGTATTGCAGAAAGGGATATATTATATGCAATATTGATTTGGCTAATACCCTTGAATTCTGCTTTTTATCTTGTGCTCTTACAGCTGCCCTGATTCAGCAGGCCACCACAGTCAAAAACAAGGATATCAGAAAATTTTTGGATGGCATCTATGTTTCTGAGAAAGGCACAGTGCAACAAGCTGATGAATAAGTTGGAAAAGGTAAAGCATGTGAAGGGCTTAAGTGGGAGTGTGTCCTCTTGAGGTGGCCTGATAGTGTAATTGAAATATTCAGGCACCAGAAGTTCTTAGTTTGAAGATAAATTAAAATTGAGCTGAATACATTTGAGCTCAGGGGTCCAGGATTGCTGGTGGATAGCAGTGTTTAAAAATGCGTCAGAAAGATTTTGTTCAATTTTTCTAAAAGGGAAACAAACTGTTTCTCTACTGCATAACTTTTCATTCTATTTCTAAAAGAATTTTTTCTTTCTACAGATGCCAAAGGCCGTGTCCTGAGGAGTCAACACTTATTCAGATGTCAAAATAAAAATAATTTTTAGCAGTTGGAGACTTTTCTCTTTTTCCGCCAAATCCTTTGCCATCTGAGAGATGAGACTTTTTTTTTCTATTTTAAAAAGAGAAATCTTTATTATCATGTAATTAAAACATTCGCTCATTTTATTTAGTCTAGGAGATTTGACTATTTTTAAAAATCTGTCAGTCTTTGAGGGAGGTTTTGACTATAAAATTAAAAGGTCAAGGGGAAAAGAGTAGTAGATTTGCAATTTGGGACCTTGGGTTTCTGTTGCTTAGTGCCTATAGGACCTTTGGCAAGCCAATTAACATCTTTGGCAAGGTTTCTTATTTTATTTTTTTTTTATTAATTTATTTTTAGTTTTCAACAGTTACTTCTACAAGATTTTGAGTACCAAATTTTCACCCTATCTCACCCCTACCCTCACCCCAAGATGGCATGCATTCAGAATACCCTTTCCCCTAGTCAGCCTTCCCTTCTATCTCTCCCCCCTTTCTCTTTTCCCTTTCCCCTTCTATTTTCCTGTAGGGCAGGATAGATTTCTGTATCCCATTTTCTGTATTTCTTATTTCCCAATTGCATGTGAAAACTTTTTTTTAAACATGTGTTTTTAAAACTTTGGGTTCCAAATTTTCTCCCTCCCACCCTCATTGAAAAGGTATGCAACTCAATATAGGTTGTACATGTGCAGCTATGCAAAACACTTCCATAGTAGACATGCTGTGAAAAACTAACTATATTCCCCTTAATCCTATCCTGCCCCTGCCAGTTGATTCTGTTCTTTCTTTTGGCCCTGTCCCTCCCCAGAAGTATTTGCTTCTGATTACCCCCTTTCCCAATCTGCCTTCCTCTCTATCATCCTCCTACTCTTGTCCCCTTCCCCCCCCATTTTCCTGAAGGGTAAGACAGATTTCCATACCCAATTGAGTGTGTATGTTATTCCCTCCTTAAGTCAAATCCTATGAGAATAAGATTCACTCATTCCTTCTCACCTTCCCCCATTTCCCCTCCACTGTAACAGCCTTGAAATAAGATTTTATTTAAAAAATGTGTTTAACTGAGCCAGTGAAACAAAGAGTTAGGCAAGTTGACCCTAGGTTCTTGAAGGCCAAGCCCTAGACTTGAAATATGGAGGTTCCTACTAAGATAACCTCTTTGTTCCTGATTAGAGTAGAATAATGAAAATAGTGTCTCTGAGAGAACACTGTAGTATGAGATGCAGTGGAGGAATGCCCCGAGATGAACCTTACATATAACAATAGGAGGCTTCCAGATTGATCACTAGGAGACCTCCAGGGGTAGGTGTTAATTAGTTTGGAATGTTCTCATTTGTATTTATTCATATTTCTGTTAGATGGAAGAAGAAAATTACTGGGCAGCTGAGTCCAATAAGAGAAGTTCTGGTGACTATTCTCAGTAAACTTCGTGATGTGTAATAAGTAGTATCCCCCTTTTTAAACAAAATCTGAGATCGTTCAGCTATCTGGTGAAGTGAAACATAAGTCTGGAGCCATGGAGCAGGCTAAGGCCTGCTAGAAACAAACCAGTCAGCAGAAACCCGGAATTTGGCGGGATAATTTGGGAAGAACGTGATTCTAGGCAAAGGGATGAACTAAACATAAGCAAAGGAGCTGAGTTGGTGGAGGGGGTGGTAAGTCCATTCAGAGTAGGGGTCTTTGGTTGGCCAGAAATTTATTTTCTGTGGCAGCTATGGAGACATTAGTTGTGACACATGCAAAACTCATCTCTGAGGGTTGTTTCCTTAAATGGGGCCAGGCTGGAAGCAGGACACTGCTTTTTCTTGGGCTTTACCAGGCTTCCAACCTCGACTCTTATCATCCTCAACTCTACTCTCACCACATACCTAATCTGTTGACCAAGCCTCAAATGTATACATTTGTTTGTACCCCTTTCTATCTGCCACAGTCCGGGTGTGCATCCTTGTTACCTCATTCCTAAATACTGCAGTAAGCCTTGTGATGAATCTTCCCCACTCCAGGCTAACATTGAGCTGCCTGAGTGATTTTCCTAATGGACGGGTGTGATGTCATACCCCACCCCCTTTCAGTCATTCATTAGCTCCCCCTTACCACCACAAACAGAAAATTCTCTGGCTCCAAAACCCTTTATAACTAGATCCCTTATCTTTCCAGTCTTAAACCTTAATCCTTTCCTGAACCCTCAATGAATGGTTAATGTTTATTGATGACTTCTGGAGGAAAGGGCACAGTCAGTCTGTTCTCAATCATGGGTGCCCAGCTGTTATGTGACTCCCAAGAGATGTATCTTCTTCCTGTTAACATGCCCAGTGCAAAAGGGGTACCTTTGATCTCCATCATCCTGAACTAATCCATCTCTAGTCCAAGATCTGTTGTTCATCTTTTATTTTCAAGTAGGACCAGTGACATCACAGTGCTATTTTGATTTGCACATGAATTGGGTTTAAGTAAGGCAGAGTTACTTGAAAGTGGTCAGCTTTACTCTCACAGAATCATCAAAGTCCAGTGGCAAGATAAAAGTCAGGAGGACTGGTGATAACCCAGGATGCAGTGGATGACCTTGGTGTCTTTGATGTCTGACCAAACTTAAGTGCTTTAGCTGCCTACATGGCTGTTGGAACAAATTTGTTCTCATCTGCTCATTCTGCTAGAGGAGGTCTTAACATGTTTGGGGTAGATACCCTCTTAACTCACCCAATGAGTTTGAGGCCTCCTGGTTTAGCCCATCTACTCAGACAGTTTTACTGGGGTGTGTCTGCTGCTTCTTGGAGCCACAGCTGACATTGGGATGAGTCTCAAATGTATACATTTGTATACCCTAAAAAGGGTTCGGCAAGTCCTCATACCAGAGGTGCCAGCCTTCCTTTAACACCCCATAAATAGAGTAGGTATTAAGCATCTACTCTGTGCCAGGCACTGTGCTAAGGACTTCAAAATATTATCTTTGGTGCTGAGTGAAGTGAGCAGAACCAGGAGAACGTTGTACACGATAGCAGCCATGTTGTGTGATGACTAATATTGATAAAATTAACCCTTCCCAGTGATACAAGAATCTAAGACATTTCCAAAGACGTCATGATGGAAAATGCTATCCACATCCAAAGAAAGAACTGTGGAATTTGAATGCAGATTAAAGCATACTATTTGCTATTTTTTTTTCTTCTTTTTTGTTTTGTTTCCTCTTTCTGGTGGTTTCTCCTATTAGTTCTAATTCTTCCTTACAACATGACTAATGTGAAAATATGTTTAATAGGAATGTATAGCCTATGTCAGATTGCACGCCATCTTGGAGAGGAAGGTCTGGAGGGAGGGGGAGAAAAATTTAAAACTCAAAAGCTTATGGAAGTGATTGTTGATAAAAGAAATTAATTTAAAAAAAATTAAAAAAACACATAGCTATTCCAAGATCTAAATTCATTCTCAATGAAATGTGAAAGGGTGAACCATCCTTGGTCATCTTGCATAAATCCATGCTTTCATGAGAAGAGGCACCCATCTAGGAGAGCCAGTCCTTACAGTACAATGAAAATCCCAAACAATGGTTTCATCCATTTTCTGTTGTGACAAGGAAGATGGAAATTACAGGGCAGCTGAGTCAAATGAGAGGCAAGTTCTGGTGACTGTTCTCAGTAAACTTTATAATGTGTAATAAGTAATAGCCCCCTTTTTAAACAAAATCTGAGATCGTTCAGCTATCTGGTGAAGTGAAACATAAGGCTGGAGCCATACATAACCTGCTAGAAATAACCCATGTATATGTCTAAACGAGTAGAACAGACACCCAGAATTTGGTGAGATAATTTGGGAAGAATATCAATCATGGCCCAGTGCACCACTTTACCCAGTGATGGGTAAAGGACCCTTAATGAGGTTGAGTATCAACTTCTTGAAGAAGGATGAACTGATAAATCTGACACTTGCAAAGATGTATCAAATAATAGCCTGTCCCAAAAGTCTTAGTGAAATTTTAAGCTTCAATAACTTCTGAAGTACAAATGCTACAAACTTACAAAAACATTTGACAATTATTTAAATTTCTTTTACCCTTATTTGGTTTTGTGAATTTTGAATAATGTTTAATTATAATAAATGGAAACCCTGTCATGTGTTGTACAATAGTTTTTGGATGACACCTCACACTTGGTAGGGAAGACCCTTTTCCTTGGCCATCTCTTTCATATCTGTTAGACTTTTTCTTGTGGGATCACATGAAAACTCATGTACGCATCAAAGCCTCATTCTTTGGATGATCATAAGACTAGAATTGCACAAAGAATCCTTTCAGTCACTGAACAACAACTTAGGAAAGTTTTTACAAAGTTTGCAAACTGACGAACAATATATAGCACAAAGTGATGGTTATGTTGGATTTTAAAACAATCTCTTAAAAGTTTTTTTGTAACACTAAGTTTTGTGTAGCATTTATACTTTTGAAGTTATCAAAGCTTCACTACAATTCTTGGGACACCCCTTATAGTAAAAGCTTGATAAAAATCTTAGGTTTATGTTTTGAACTATGTCTCAAAACATACATGAGTATAAAAGTAACAAGGCAATTGTGTGTTTAAATCAAATTGTTGTGCAAATAATTTTGTAGGCAAGGAGTGTCAAACAGTCTGAAACAGGATAATTATATTAACATTTAGAGAAGATACTGGTTTCCTCAAAATTATGGTAGATTTTTTTTTCTCTACATGATAGGCAGTTCTTCCTACAAAACAGAGATCTTACTTTAATAACAATTCACATATCTATAGTGCAGTAAAGCTTACAAAGCTTCACAATTGTATGAAGTAAAAAGTACAGACCTGTTTTATAGAGACTTTATGGAAACTGAGACTTTAAAGTTGAAATGACTTTCTCAGTCTCACACAGATGGTCTAAGAGTCAAGATTTAAGGCTAGATGTCCTGATTCCAAATCAACATCTATAACACCTACCATATGCTGGACTGCTGGCCCAGGAAAATAAGCAGTAAGGGAGGATCAGTCTTTCAAATGCTACATAGACCCCATGATTCTGTCCCACATC